ATATATATATATATATATATAATACGTTAATTACCATCCATAGCAACAAGAAGTCCATAGGAATAAACTCCAACAAGGCAATAATTTTTCTTATATATTTCACCCAATGTCACACTTAAAAAGGCTCCCTTTCTTCCAAGAAAAATAAGCAAATATACATTTATTATTAATTAACATGGGTTCGATTTCATCTCCTTCACGAAACCCTATTCGATTATCTCAAGAAAATAATGATCAATATTATCGAATTTACGCTTCTTTTTGTGGAAAAGACTATACACCTAACATAAACATGTCGAATTGGATATCATGTTACCACCCTTCAACAAATTCCTGGCATCGACTCACTACAATTCCAGGCCTTCTAGAGAACCAAGTGATAAAAAGTTTCGCCATGGTTTCACTTGGCGAAACAATTTATGTAATAGGAGGACGACATTATTATAAAGCTTTTGGTGATGGACCTGACGATAATTATGTTCAAGAAATGAGGCTAGGAGGTGTACGTTCTTCGGTGCTTAAATATGATACGCGTGTGGATACTTGGTCAACTTGTGCACGTTTAATTATGCCTAGGTATAATTTTGCGTGTACTTGTAAAGATGGTAAAATTTATGTTGCAGGTGGACAAACAACGTTGGATAGTGCTGAAGGTACCTCTTTTGCTGAGATTTATGATCCTGTAAAAGATGAATGGGAATCATTACCAAATATGAGTACTTTGAGGTATAAGTCTGTTGCTGTGGCATGGCAAGGTAATGTTGACTAGTTTTCTAACGCAAGTCTTCTTTTTTCTTTTTTTTTATCCGGTGTTCGAAACCCGCATTGGAGTCTGGACTATATCTAGATCGCGCACTGCAGAATTCTTCATACCCAGGACTTACTTATATAAACTTACGATATAAGAAATATGACATAATACATAAACGTATCATTTAACTTGGCCTCTATTGACATTTATGCATGCAAATAAATTTTTAAACTCGTATAAAATTGAATAAATAGACATATTAGTCCAACATGGCGTCCTACAGGGGCGGATCTACGTTCAACGAAGGGGGTTCATCCGAACCCCCCTCGTCGAAAAATTACACTATATATAAGATTAAATTTTGAATATATGTGTATATATATACTATTGAACCCCCTGAACATACACCAAAGGCGTAGCTCAGTGGCGTTGGGGGTTCAGGAATTTGCTCTACTGCACGCGAGGTCGCGTGTTCGAATCCGGGTAGAGGCATTTTGTTTTATCAGCTTATTTCAGGCGTTTTATTTTTTTAAAATAAATAATAATGCAATCAGAAAATGATGTTTAGTTCCAAAAATTAAAACGCTGATTGGGAATTTAGGATTTATTAGTTTAATCCCAAATTATAAAGTCAAATATTTAAAAATCCGTTTCTTCTTGATTCAACCGTTTAATTCGACCCGTTTATATCCGATTCGACCCGTTTATTTGTGGTTATTATTTACATGATTGATTTTTTTTGAACCCCCTTGATGAAAATCCTCCCTCCGCCACTGGCGTCCTACATGACAATTTTGTGTCCTACGTGTCATCTTACATGTATTATTCCACGTAGGACGCATGTGTTTACTTGTTCAATTTTATACAAGTTTAAGTGGCTACTTCCTAAAATTGGAGGGCGTAGGTGTTAGGTGAAACCAAGTTAAGGGGGCATATTTATGTATTATACCAAGAAATATTTACACAATCAAATATACTTGTGTGATCTCATAGATGGGGTTTGAAAGATGGAGTATATATATACATAT